AGGAAGGAAGGAAGGAAGGAAGGAAGGAAGGAAGGAAGGAAGGAAGGAAGGAAGGAAGCCAAGCCTTTGGTGCAGCAAGAAAGGCAAACCCAAAAGCAAATCCCACTTAGGACCGTGTCTAGCAACAAATCCATGAGCTGAACGTTTTTATACCCGACGTAAGCAGCTGCCTCGCATTATGTCTCAAGTTGGACAAGAAACAAACAAAATTGGGAGGTCAACTGAACAGCCCATCTGAGCCTTGTCTCCCTCTGGATCAGAAGATTAGCGCCCTGGAGTCCTCCCTGAGAAAGTCAGGAATCTCCACCATCTCCAGATCTTCCACGGAAGGGCCTCGTGGGGAGAGGCCATACTCACCGGGATGGCCGCCGAGGTGACGCCTCCCGCGAAGCCCGTCAGAAGCCTCCCGACCAAGAGCATCCAGACCTCGTGGGCGCTGGCCATCAGGAAGTACCCCGCCACGGAAGGGATGGAGGAGAACATGATGCTCAGCTTGCGCCCCAAGCGGTCGTTGAAGTACATGGTGCACAACCCGCCTGCGGCGACTCCTAAGGTGAAGATGGACTAGAAGACAGAAAGAGAGGAATGCGAGAGGTCAACGGGGAAGACCGCACGGTCGTAACCAGAGGTGGGACTCAGCCGGTTCTGGAGAACCGGGAGTGGAAACGTTGGGTAGTTTGGAAAACCGGCCAATCCCGCCTCTGACTGGCACCGCCAACCCCATATCTCTTCTCGGCCTCCCATTGAGTCCCAGCTGATCGGCTGGGTCTCTTTTGGTTGCCCTGAACAGGAGAACGGAGCTGGAAAGCAGGTTAGTGGGGTGGGGAAGGTATGGGGATTTTGCAATATCCTTCCCCTGCCACGCCCTCCAAGCCACGCCCATAGAACCAGTAGTAAAACCATTTGAATACCACCACTGATCATAACCCTGGTGGCGCAGTGGTTGGAATAGGTTATTGCAAACTAAACTCTGCCCACTGCCAGGAGTTCAATCCTGACCAGTTCAAGGTTGAACTCAGCCTTCCATCCTTCCGAGGTGGGTAAAACGAGGACCCAGATTGTTGGGGGCCAGAGGCTGACTCTGTCAACCGCTTAGAGAGGGCTGTGAAAGCACCTTGAAGCGGTATGTAAGTCTTAAGCGCTATTGCTGTTGCTTGCTGGCTTCCCTTCCTCCTTTCTAAATTCCTTCTTTGTCATTCAAAGTTGCAACAGACCTTATCGGAGCTATTTACGGCTTGTTTTCAGAGTTGCAATGCCGGCCAAACACAAACAACCACGTGATGGCGATGGTATTTGGGGTGCTTGGGAACGTTAACAGCCATTTGCAACACCCTGTGGGCATGTTTTACGTTGTTGTTCCTGTTGTTTTGGTGATTACTTCAACCTCCCAGGGAAAAAAAAATCACGGATTTGTTCAAGTTCGCTTTAAAACCACTTCAGGACTAGAAAGGAAAAAAAAAAAAGCCATAACTTCCATCCAGACACCGGATTCCTCCATTTAACCTACGTACCCCAAACCAGGAAGCGGTAACCTCGGTTAGTTGCAAGTGAGGGACTGGAGACTTCATCAAAGCTGGTATGACAGGCGAGGTGTACACTAAGGCGAAGCCGAAATTGAAATTCCCCAACACGGCGGCGAAGCTGGCAAAGAGGAGACGTCGGTTTCCGAGGGTCCTTGGGGAAGAGAGAGAAGAAATAAGGAACCAAAGTGGGACCCCTCAGAATGACTGAAGGCAAACGGTGAACCAAGAGCGAAACAAATGACTTTTAAAGACAAGAGTGAAGAATAACAGAGTTGGAAGAGACCTTGGAGGTCTTCTAGTCCAACCCTCTGACCAGGCAGGAAGCCCTACACCACTTCAGACAAATGATTATCTAATCTCTTCTTAGGAACTTCCAGTATTGGAGCATTTACAACTTCTGGAGACAAGTTGTTTCACTGATTAATTGTTCCCACAGTCAGGAAATTCCTCCTTAGTTCTAAGTTGCTTCTCTCCTTGATCAGTTTCCATCCGTTGCTTCTTGTCCTGCCTTCTGAAGGGGCTTTGGAGAATAGCTTGACTGCCTCTTCTTTATGGCAGCCCCTCAAATCCTGGAAGAATGCTATCAAGTCACCCCTAGTCCTTCTCTTCCTTAGGCTAGACCAGGGGTCTTCCAATTTGGCAAGTTTTAAGCCTTGTGGACTTCAACTCCCAGAATTCCTCCTCCTCTAGTCAGGTTAGCTCAGGAATTCTGGGAGTTGGAAGTCCACAAGGCTTGAAACTTGCCAAGTTGGAAGATCCTCCGGCTAGACATACCCGATTCCTGCAACTGTTCTTCACGTGGTGGGTTTTAGTCCCCCTTAATCAGCTTTCTTTGCTCTTCTCTGCACTCAAATCAGGAAACTCAAATCGTTTTATATCTCTCCTTGATCAGTTTCCATCCGCTGCAGCTTTTCCTGCCTTCAGATGCTTTGGGCTGGAGAATAGATCGACAGCCCCTTCTTCTTTGTGGCAGCGTCCTCAGATATTCTTCTGTACAGGAGGATTCCAGGGGACGTGCAAATGTATTTTCCTTTTGCAAAAAATAAATAAAAAAGCCAGCTCAAGACAGGCAGCAGGCAAGCCGAAGTGAAAGGACATTAAAGAACAACCTCCCCAAAAGTGCCAGTAATTGTGTGGTCGGGAGAGAAGAAGGGAAGTTGAGAAAGAGACAGAACTGAGAAAATACGGACAAGTTGAATGAGCCAAGAGCCACTTTTGAAGATGTCGTTTTCCTGCCAAGGTATAGAAAATGCCAATGCGTTTCTGTCTTGGTTGTTTTTTAAAACAAAACAGCTCCCATAATCCTCGTCTTCCCACAGCTCCCCTAATCCTCGGCCGATCTCTCCTCCTAATTGAATCAAATCCCGTTGATTTCTTAATGCAGGGTTAGAGAAAAGCATCAACCGTTTGACGTTATCGGTTATCGAACCGCGAAAGGGATGTGTGGAAAAGAACAGAGGAAGAGCAGCCAGGTCGAGAAGAATGGGTGCAAGCTTCTTGTCTACCGGCAATGAGGACTAGCGCCTTGAGCGAAAGTGAAGACAGCATGTCAACAAAAGAAAAAGAAAGAAAGAAAAAAACGGGTCTCCGTTGGCGGGCCTTCTCAGGAGTGCAAGGGAAATGGAAGCGGTACCTGTAATATTCCTTCTCCACACGCCGAGGGTCCTTCTTTATCAGCGACCCGTAATCCTCCAAGGGCTCCGGGCCCAGCAGTGGCTCCGTGGCCTCCAGGGTGGCTGGAAGGGTGGGCTGCCCCCTGAGAGAAGGAGAGAAACGCAGAGGGTGGGTGGGATAAACAGGTGGGAGTCAGAGAGCCGCCACACCGCGGGGGTTTCTCCTCCGACAGGGCAGCCGAGGGAGAAAGAAAGAAAATGAAAGGAAAGGAGACAGAAGATGCGAAGATGCGTAATTTGGGGGAAAGCAAATCAGGCGTGAGAAGAGGAAGCGGCAGAGAGTGAAGAAACCGGCTGTGGAGCAAGATAACAGAGGATGAAAGAAGGGAAGAGAACATGAGATGGGGGGGAGGGAGAGGGAAGAAGAGAGGGTGGGAGGGAGGGAGAGAGGGAGGGAGA